TTTTATTTTATTTTATTTTATTTTATTTTATTTTATTTATTTATATCCCGCCCATCTGGTATATTTATACCACTCTGAGCGGCTAATGGTAGAAAGTGAGGAGGAATTATAGAACCTCTTAATGAGGGTGAAAGAGGAAAGCGCAAAAAATTGTCTGAAGCTCAACATCAAAAAAACGAAGATCATGGCCACTGGTCCCATCACCTCCTGGCAAACAGAAGGGGAAGATATGGAGGCAGTGGCAGATTTTACTTTCTTGAGCTCTATGATCACTGCAGATGGTGACAGCAGCCACGAAATTAAAAGACTCCTACTTCTTGGGAGGAAAGCGATGACAAGCCCAGACAGCATCTTATAAAGCAGAGACATCACCTTGCCAACAAAACTCCACATAGTCAAAGCTATGGTTTTTCCAGTAGCAATGTAGGGAAGTGGGCTGACCACTGAAGAATTGATGCTTTTGAATTGTGGTGCTGGAGGAGACTCCTGAGAGTCCCTTGGACTGCAAGGAGAACAAATCTATCCATTTTGAAGGAAATCAACCCTGAGTGCTCACTGGAAGGACAGATCCTGAAGCTGAGGCTCCAATACTTTGGCCATCTCATGAGAAGACTCCCTGGAAAACCCCTGATGTTGGAAAGTGTGAAGGCAAGAGGAGAAGGGGATGACAGAGGATAAGATGGTTGGACAGTGTCATTGAAGCTACCAACATGAATTTGATCAAACTCTGGGAGGCAGTGGAAGGCAGGAGGGCCTGTCTTCCACTGCTCTGGTCCATGGGGTGACGAAGAGTCGGACACGACTTAATGACTAAACAACAACAAATCCCATTGGAAATACCTTAGGTTTTCTCTAGTAGAGGACTGTTTTCAATACCATTTAGCCTCTCAGCAGCCTTGAAGGTCTTCATCAAGACTATGGTGCTAGTCATGACATTTCTCAGAAGACATGGAATAGTCAACTTTGCTTTTAAAGAAGATCATCTGATTGTGGCCAATGGCTCAGATGTTTCAATGATTTGGGCCTCAGGAAAAATCACATCTGTGCCCTACTCAAGACTTTCCTAGGGGGAAGGCTGCAGTCCACCAAGACCCGAGTTCAGACTATAGTAGCTCTGTTGAAGGATGTTGTAGACCATTCTATGGGAAAAGTGCTCCATGTTCTAAAATTACTCAGTCTCACAGCATCCATGGTGCTTTGCTTTGCCAGATTACTTATAAGATCTCGTCTCAACTTGACCTTCAGTTCTAAATGAATGCTACTTAGTACTGTTAGGGGTCCTGCTGTGCTGATGGACTAAAACACAAAACTTGCTTCAGGGCATGTCCTTTCTTACTTCCTCAGTCAGTACAATGAAGGCAACACCACATCCAGGGTCACTGGTCTTAGAGAAAGGCAAAACATCACAAACTTCCTAGAACTTACGGTAGTATTAATGACTTGCAAAACTTACCATATAATATTTACTGGTTCCATAGTGCAAGTCACCTCCAACAATTCTACCATATAAACAAAGAGGGGGCAGCAGATCCAGAAAGCTAGTAAATCTGGCACTGTGTCTGCCATTGGCAGATCTATCACAGCTCCTTCCTTATTGCAGTTCATGTGCCAGGGTAATTGAACCAGTTGGTGAACCTGCTGAGTAGGGTTGATAGGATGTACATGAGCTACTCTACCCTCCTCTTCTCAACAGGATACAGTATTTTGAATGTGGGGTCAATAAAGCATTCACTTCTAGGATTAGTAGGAAGTGCCCACTGTGCTGTATCATAGCAGAATTAGGAAGGAGATGTCTTGATGCAATCTTGGAAGGATAAAAGCAGCCATCAATTCCCAGTACAGTGGTGCCCCGCTTGACGATTACCCCGCTTGACGACGAGTCCACTTTACGATGAGTTTTTTTGCTATCGCTATTGTGATCGCAAAACGATGATTCCTATGGGGTTTTCCCCTTTATGACGATCGGTTCCCTGCTTTGGTGCATGGCATCATGCTGCCTATGGGTTTGTTTTGTTTATGTCTTTTGACACTATTGGCGAAGACTCTTTGCATGGTCAGTGTACAAAAGGTGTTGATCTTTTACATGCAAAGGTCCGCTGAGTTTCAAAGGACTCCACAATTTTTGAAAATCTTAGAAGCTATTCCACAAGGGCTGTTGCCACTCAATGCTATTTTTGCCAGGGGTCTCCATACTGGAATCATGCATAGCTGCCACAAGGTTACAGTCATCAACCTTTGTACAGTGCTACTCTTTGGACACTAAGCTCCAGAAGGACACTTCCTTCAGAAAGGCTGCCCGACCGCTATGCTGCTATAGTACGAGGTGCCTGCCCACCTGCCAGGTTCACTTTGTGCCGTTGTTAAGCTCACTAGTCTTCATCCATCAGTGTGGATGCATAGAAACCATGATGAAAAAAAATGAGTTGTTTCTTGTAATGTTTGTTGTTTGGCTGGTACTCTGTGCATTCACATGACCCAGCCACCTCACCTCTTTGGCACCTGGAGTGAAATGACAGTGACCTATATAAACTGAGGGAAGAGGCACTAGAGTGTTCACTATAGAGGGGAAAGAGAACCAACAGTCAAAATCTCTCAGTTTTGAGTATCCAAAAGGGTTAGCTTTGCAGAGGTACAGATCTATCAACATAAATGCATAGAAGACCATACAAAGAACAAATGTTGCAAGGAGCATCCTATTTTTGTATAACTTCTGTCTTTTGAATTTATTTTATTCTGCATTTTGCATTGTGTTTGTATGAATTATTGGTTCTCTTCTCTTTTTTTAGGGTCCACCAGGAGGTGGGGGGCCACCAGGAACACCCATCATGCCTAGTCCAGCAGGTAGCCAATTTTAAGTAGAGGTGAAAAAGCAATATGAAGTAGTAATGCTAAAACACCTGACTTCACTAAACATTGTTACACAACAAAAATGCAAATGCACAAAAAGATAGACAAAATAAACATATTTTCCTAATAAGATGAATTTGATTTACTTAGTATTTTAACAATCATTTCAGTGTTTTGAATAATTTCCATTTTTATCTAAGATATTAGCTTTGGGATGTCCTGTCTTTACATGGATATTGCATGTATTTTGTTAATTATGGCAACATGTTACAGTTTGATTAACTATTCTCTCAACCTGGGTATCTGTTTTCCAGTAACTTCACAAAGGTTACTTGGCTGTCACTTTACTGCCACAGAAAATCTCATTTAATATAAGCCAAGAAGAAAAATGCTCAAAGCATCTTGGAAATTATCAGATAAATTCTCAACAATTTGGAGAGGCAAAAAATTGATTTGGTGTTTTCTCATTTATCTTTTGAAGACAAGGGAGATCAGAATTTACAACCTTTAGTTAGAAATAGATAATAGTCTGGATAATCTGATTTCCTTTTTAAATACAAATTAACCTGATTTGTACGGTACTTCCAGTATAAACGCATTAACCAAAATGCAGTTCCCATTTTTGTGCTTCTCCAAATTCTTAAATGTTAAAAAAATCATATGGAATAGGATAAATTATGAAAATATTGCTTGCAAAAAAAAAAAAGAATGTATATGGTGAGGGAAATGGCACACAGAAATGCATGCAGTTGGAGTTTTCTACAGACATTTAAATGGCTACAAGTTGATATGAAAATTGGTCAGAACAACTTTTTGAATAACTGAAAATAATAGGCCAGAATCTTCTTGGTGATTTACACATGTGTAAGTCTGATTGCATAAATCAGGGTGGCAAATTGCTGCTAACTAATGAGGTATTGATGTGTAATATAAGTCATGCAGCAGTCATGCAACAGTCACACATTGAGTGATGCAACTGATGCCTTGTTATTTAGTGGCAATGAACTATTTATGCATATGTAAATCACCAACATGATTCAGGCCAGAGAAAATTAAACACATGTCCTTTTCCACTAAAGAGTAATGCACACCATGTTGAGACAAGAATAAAGGAGGGGATTGTACCTCATGCAGTTGATTTTGATCTCTCCTCCATTATACTCTTGTTCTTACATTTTCAGAATATCTGAAGGGAGGCCACATGCTTGTGTTTTGACCATGTTCGATGTTGTCATTAATTCAAAGGAGTAATCCAGGATTTCAGTGTTGTCAACTAAGGCTGTCATCACATGGAAAAATAGATTGCAATTCACACCAGTTGTAGAGTGGCCCAATGTGATCTGTATCCTGGTTGACCACACATGGCAATATGTTCCAGCCTGACTCTGATCTGTGCCCGAGGCAGACCATTTTGATTCAGCTGTAGGACTTCTACTTTTGGGGGCCATGCTGGAGCAATTTCCTGGTAGATTGAAGTGTCATTTTAAGATCACGGCCCCCATAGCGATCCTTTCCAATGCAATAAGATGAGAATCTTTAAGCCATCTGGTGCACCTATCTTTTGTCACTGTATCTACACTTGAAAGTTCTAAAACCTCTACTAAAAGAGAGCAAGAGATACAAATAATTAGAGCACACTAGAAGGCCAAACCTATTTTCTGTGTTCCACTACCAAATTCTTTTTAACTAATAACGCCTCTTGAATTTTTCTGTTTTGAAGCCCAAATCATTCTTCATCTTTTTATTACGTCTTGCCCAAATGTAAGGGAAGAGCTTAACCACAACCATTTATGAAATCAGTATGAAATCTTGATTTTACTCTGTTCAGTTACCTTCTGTGATAAAATGTTGCTGGTGCCTGTGCAGTAGTTCTCCAGTTTTCCTTTTAACTGTGGCATCAAATCCCCAGACAAATTCTTGTTGTCATTCACACTTTGGCCAAGAGATGATTATAAACAAAACCTCTTACGATTGATTTACTGAATGTTAACAATAATGTACAAGTCTCTTCTGAAAGCAGTTGTAGAATTAGTCCTTCTATTGTATTATTGGCAATGTCTGAAAGTGTCTTTGAATAAAATTTCAGTGTATTCATTGATTTTTTTTCTACTGAAAATACTTCATCTTTGAAAAATACTTGTTTCAGATTCAACCAACTCTGGAGACAACATGTACACATTAATGAATGCAGTACCTCCTGGACCCAACAGACCTAATGTAAATATCTTAAATAAGTAATATATATTTAAACTGTATAGCTTGTACCTAATCACTAAGACAACATGTATCTTAACACATTATTTTAGGATAAAATAGTTACCTTAATGGGAATACAGGTTGTAGGGGATTTTTCATAATGATTACATGCTGCTTATATTTTGACTCCTAAAACATTGCTTTTGGAGAGTCGTTTTGCAAAATTGTTAGCTATTTAGGCCAAATGTAGCAAGTAATTAAGAGTCACTCTTTCAATGAGTAACAATAACAAGTTACTCTGTTTCTAAAGGAGGGGAAAGCAACCAGCAGTATAGAACTTTTTTTTAAGTTGGGTGGAGTTTGCGTTCGGCGGTGTCGAGACGGAGCTCCGAGAAATTCAGAGTTATAGCTGGTAATGAAGGTAAACCCTTTGAAAATTTTCTACTTATGAGAGACCTTCTCTGCTGTCAACAAGCCTAGAGAAGAGAAGAGGAGTTTGTGCTGCAGGCTACAGCGTCTGAGAACTGAGCAGTATTTTACAACCAATATACTCCCCCTCACATACGCAAGATAACATTAGACAAGGAGCCAAGAAGTTTGCTCTGGAATGTTAATGACTACTGTCTTTTCATGTTATCAAGTATCTTGCAAGAAACTCTGATGTGAGGCTCTTAAAGGAATCACCTGTGCACCACCAGTTTTTAAACTCTGTTTGTTGAAGCCTTTACCTCCGTTAACTGACAAGTAGTGTTTCAAATTCTGCTCTCTCCTCATCGTTCTTCATGTAAAAGAACAAGAATTATACAACTAATGCTGCATATTTCATTAAGTCCCTAAATTTTTACTAGCATAGAAGTGTTCACAGTGGCTATCTTTTGATACAATGATTGTAACAAAAATATCAGCAGGTATTATTTAGGCAATTTTCTAGCCCTTTCTCACATTTCCTAAGATAATTATTGTAACAATAGTAATTTTGGCAACAGTATTCTAAAACAATATTATTGTTCCTGTTCTGATTTTACAAATTCTAAAGTACAGTTTATTTTAATATATTTTATTACATGTTGTAAACTACTTACTGGTATGCTTGTAGTATGATGCATTTTCACTTCTTGCAGTTTCCAATGGGGCCAGGATCCGATGGTCCTATGGGTGGATTGGGTGGAATGGATTCACATCATATGAATGGATCATTAGGTAAGGATACTGTACTTTGTCATTTGTTTAATCATGGGCTGAGGAACTTGTGAAGTTCAGAAAACCTAGTTTGAATTGTTACCATTGCATTTTCAAATTGTACTCTGCAGTCCAAAGAGTTAACTTCAAACTTGGATTCACAGGTTGCTAGCAAAATTCTGAAGGATGTAAGAAGAATATATTTTGTTTATTCAGATAACTGTTTTATATATGGGCCAAAATCCTATTGCTTATTGTAGTAAATTACACTAGAGCAGGTGCATTGAGTGATGACTCAACTCCTCCATAAGGTCCATTGATTCAGTGGTCCTGTTCTAGTGCAGTTTGCTACGATAAACAATAAGACTTTGACTATGAAGCTTCATTTGCTTTACAAGAAAGAACAAGGCTCTGTGGAGTGTCAGGACAGAACACGCAGAGGTTCTGTGGATTCTTTACAAGCAAGAAATTTGTACTTTGGAAGTTTGTAGAAGCTCTAGTACCTCTCTTTGAAGTAATGAATACTGACATCACCTGCCTCTGAGATATATGATCATGAATAATTTTAGAAGAATCAAGCATGGTTTATTCTTCAGTGTAGAAAATTAGAGGACTGGGACTTTTTAAAAATACATACACCTGAAAGCTGATATGATAGGAAAACTCGAAGGGTTTTCCACCCTCGTTTTGCTATCAGAGAACATGTTGAATTTTTCATTTGTGGAAGCCCCTTTTTCCAATTTTTCAAATCTAAAGTGTATGAATAATTTGCCACAGAGAAAAGCTGTAACAAGCCCAAAAAAGGCAAAAAAAAAAACCCTCTGTAAAATTACAAAGTAAAAATATGTTTTCCTTGAATGGGATTTTAAAAAGAGGCACCACCAGCAGAGTAATTCTGTGTGTCTGTGGAGTAAGAAATCTACAGAATGAAAGATGAGGAGGTCATACAGTACTTTTTGTTCTGATAAAACACGGGAGCACAAAAGTCATACATGCCAGCAAAATATGGCATCCAGAAGCCAAAAATTTAACAACTAGGAAGATACATTTCAACAGAATTCCAAAACGAATCAAGGTTCAAACCATTGTGGTTTGTAGAGTATATGAATACAAACAGCAGGGCTAACGGCAGAAACATGAATATAGATTGTTCAAATTAAAGAATTAGTAAGCTTTATTGTGACACTAGAGTCTGAAGAAATTGAAGCATCCAGTTTTAGTTGACATATTCTGTCCAGTGCAAGTAATTCCAGGAATTGTTCTGGACTGGTATAGGCATATTGGTTTATTTTACATTAATTATCATTAATAAAAATAACATTTATTTTAGATTTCATTTTCCAGGTAGCTGTCAGAAGATACATCAGATACAATTGAAAACAGTAATATAAGCAAGTAAAAACCTGTAAAACTAGGATAATAGTTCCTGTTCTAGGTTTTTGAAAATCTTGATCCCAAACTGATGGAATTAAAAATTAACCTAAATATTCATTTTTCATTTAAGGCTCAGGAGACATGGATAGTATCTCCAAAGTAAGTATCCATTTTATTTCAAGCTCAGTATTTTTTCTGTAAGCAAATTTATTATCTTTAAGTTTTAAAAAAAGTTATTACAAATAAATCAAGTAGTTACTATTAGGGTAATAACACCTTGAGGGCATTGTGCAAGCAAATCATCAAATTATTAGAGCAGAGGTAGGTGACCTCAGTGAAGCCAAGAACAATTTTCAGATTTGCCAAAAGCAAGGGTTTGGGACAAAAGGGGGTAGTTTTGTCCCTTTGGGACAAAAGGGGGTAGTTTTCATGTTCAATTTTTAATAGCATATTAAAAATATATGCAGTAGCTGTGTACTGTAAAAGTGGCCACAAAGGACTTTTGTTAACTGAAAAACGGGCTTAGCTTTAAAAAGTAGCATAAGTGGGGAATAAAACCTTGAACCCTTTAGTGACCAGCATTTTAAATTTTTATATGTTTTTAAGGTGTATGGAGGTGCCCAGGGATGCTGAAGGTCCCTTGTAACATGGAAAAATTGCCTCTATACCCACAAGGGGACCTTTTGAGTAAAATGGATTCTTCGGTGGGGGGGGATAACAAACTTGGGGGACTGGGGGAATCTAAGAATATTGCAAAAATGTTGGGGGGTGGTTCTCATTCAGTTCACAGGTTTCATGCTTCCAACCCCTATATTAGAGTTTAAACAAAATCTTGATAATTCTTAACGTCTGTTGAAGACATTTGTTTATTGATAGCCACAAATATAGTATGATGCTAATCCTTAGTTCTATTTTGTGGTTGATGTACCATTATCTAACTGGTTTAAACTATATGTATTAAGTGTTGGCAATTCAAAGAGAGGCTGTCACACACTATATGTCTAAGGGCTTGTAATATCTGAAAAGTTATCTTTCCTTGTTATCTTGTATACCTCCTCTATTACCGTCAGTATACTGGCCAGATTCCTATTGCTCATTCCTAAGTACCTGCCCACAAATGCAGCAAGTATTTCATTAATGAACAGCAAATTGCCTCTAAGACTTTAGCTTATTTTCCCCATGTGCACACAGAATAGCAACAGGATTTTGGCCATCATTTCACAAACTATTACTGAAATTTTCCAAAGTTACAGAAGCAGTTTGTTCAATGAGTTGCTAGAGTTTGCAGTGTCAGCACTGCAGGAAGACCCACACTTCAACGTAAATGCTCCTTTGGTCAGCCTCTCTTCTCATGTAAGAGATGTCCAGGAAAACAGATTATACAGTAGGGTAATCAGATAGACTAAGAGATGCTGGGAAGCACTTGATGATTGGCTTTGTACTGGCAACAATTTCTGACTCTGTTCTTCCCAATTATTTTAAAACAGCAAGGAAAAGAAACCCCCTTCAAGATTAGAATTCTTTATGCGTAGTAACTGAGATGTAGATTTGTACTTGAGTAGTTGGATCCCAGTGAATTGCTCAGGCAATGCTGCATACCATCATTTCCGATTTACAAGTTACAGATTGTTCTGAAACATTTACAGATTAATTTAAGCACACAGTAGTGACTCTCTCCTGTTCTCTTCAAATACTGTAGAACTCTCCCAGTAATATGAGCATGAGTAATCAGCCGGGGACCCCTCGAGATGATGGTGAAATGGGGGGAAACTTTCTAAATCCTTTTCAGAGTGAAAGTGTAAGTACAGCATGTTTTATTTTTTGGTTGCTGCAAGATATGAACAAAGTTCCATTCAAAAGTACAATTCCCAACCTAATACTGTACTATATCACATACAGTATACAATATTGTTAAATTCTATCTACATAATACCTAATAAGTTCGGGATTCCAGATTTCTGGAGGAAAAGTCCATTGCAGGTTGCAAGCCATGATGGGAATGTATAATCTCCGGGCTTAAAAGGAAGGTACTTCAAAATGCCAGATGTAGGGGAGGGGTATCAGGAGACAGGTATCTAGTTGTCCCGTGTGTTTCCAGAGGCACCTGGTGGGGTCACTGTGACATACAGGAAGCTGGACTAGATGGGCCCTTGGCCTGATCTAGCCAGGCTGTTCTTATGTTCTTATGTTCTCATTTCTGAAAGGAACTTAAGATATATGCATTCATTTTGATATTTTTGAACTCATCTGGATTTTCCCATTGTTATTTATCATAATACAATTGACAGTTGCCATCTTTGCAGCACTTCAGTATGCTTCATAATATTGTCTGTATTTGTAATTATAGAAGACATATCATATGTGCTTGCATATGTAACCCCAATAAACATAGTGGGAATTGCTTCTGAATAGCCATGTATAAGATTGAGCTGAAAATCATTCTTTTTTCCACTGCACAAATGTCATCAATTTACACATGAATTTACCAATGAATCTGAAGAGCAGAGGTTCCTACTCATGTGGACGTTCTCCAGGCAAGCAAGAATCCTGTTTTTCCAAGGTTTTTGCTCACATGGAGTGCCTCCACATGACCAGAAAATTCTCCTTTTCAGACCTTCTGGTGATTTCATGTGTGAAATGACAATGGGGGTGGGCTAGGCCCGTTGAGAGTTCATAGTCCAGGATTCTCTTCATGCTTGATTAAGGCTTATGAGTGCCCCACGATTTGTGCTTACAGATCAAACTAGTTATTACAGTGGGGTCTTGACTTACAAACGGCCCAAGTTACGAACATTTTGACTTACGAACCGCTCTCATAGGAAAATATTGACTTGACTTGCGTACTTTGATTTGAGTTACGAACTGAAAAAAAACCACGGAGGCAGGGAAAGTGCAAAATTTGAACTTTCAGTTAACTGTTGCCCAGTGAAAAGGGTGCCTGTCTGCTTCCTCACTCCTCCCAGCATTTAGAGAGTGGATTGGGAGACAGTCTTCAGACTGCCTGGTACTGCCTGGACTGTATTTTCCCTGCCTCCCCTGAACCTTTCTTGACCTAAGAAAAAAAGAAACAAAATATCTCCCTCTAGTGGTCGAAGGCGGAATAGCAGCTTTCCATTAGTTTCTATGGACGGAAAAGAGCAGATATGGATCAAATGGTTTTCAATGCATTCCTATGGGAAATGCAGATTTGACCTGCGCACTTTTTGACTTGAGAACCGCCTTCCAATACGGATTAAGTTCGCAAGTCAAGATCCCACTGTACTTGCAAACTTGAATGCAGTTATGCATGTGATGGCTTTTAAAGACCTGCTTCTATAGGGATGATTGAAACCGGAAAAGAAAAGGAGGGAACCCTTTCCTTATTTATAACACACCTGTTATGAATCATCTTTCCCAGAAAAGTTTTCCACTTGCAAGGCTCCAAATACATATTTGTATATGTAACTGGTAAAACAAATGTATCACTTTTCTGATTATTGTCTGTATGTCTTCTCAGCAAATTCCACCTTCATTCAGTGTAATCACTTTTCTGTATTTATAATGTTTTCAGACTTTTAAAGAGCATATGTTTTAAATCTATAGAATGCATCCCATAAGCCCACCACCATGTTGTATGAAATAATCAACCGTATTTTGACTTCTTCCTCAGCCATAATACAGTACTTAAGCCAACTGTGTTGGCAAGTATCCTATTTCTAGTATTAATTAGTGAAAACACCCATTAAATCAATTGTTGAATGATAAATCAACAATTCAATAAAGCCCACCAAGTCAGTGGTTCTGCTGTGATTGAGACTAGCAATAAGATATTTGATGATGTAATTTCAACATATTTTATTTACATTTGCAACAAAATAAGAATAATTAGATCATTTATGTCCCCTAAACTGCAGGCGGTTCTGATCCAGTATGGGTTTTCCCTAGCTCTGACCAGTGGTGGCTTGGGCACATTACCTGGATGAGCAAATTTTCATTACAGTATATTCTTCAAAATTTGCTAGTAACTAAACCATCACCAGTATAGAAACAAAATATTATGAAATCTTCTTTCAAGTTCAGGCTAATCTTCTGTATAAGAGATAGGGAAACCACTAGCTATGTCAGGCCAAATCCACATAGCAAAACCTCCACTGCTGCCCCCTCTTTAGGCTCACCCCCTTTCATCATGCACCAGTGAAGTGAACTGGTGCTGCAAAGAGATCGTGGTCAGAGGTAACACAGTATTACCAACTTTTTCTATGCAGCATCCTGATAAAGGAAGACAGAAGTAAGCAAAACTACCTTCACAAAGTTCACTGCTTTGTGTTTCTGGTGAAGGAATATATGAAGCAAGTAAGGGTCCCCACTAGTGGTTTTTTAGGTGATGCCTTGATTGGAGACCTAGCTTTGCATCATGTAGCCTCTTTGTTGTAGTTGCTATGCATTTAAAACACCCTTCAGAATATGCCAGATGGTAAGAAAGTTTCAGTGTTAGTCCCACACCTCTGAACTATAGCGCACACACTGGTACTCAACCCCTCAGTTCAGTTTTTATCCACCACTACAGCCACATCACTATAACTGTTGCATTGGACGAGAAATTATCTAGGATCCTTATGGCCTATATCTAGTGATATCATTCTGCTAGAAAAAAAACTTTTACTCACAATCAAAATTAATATTGGATAACAATTTTATTGTACCAAATGAGTAAGCAAGCAATTCAGTAACCCGGTGTGCAATATTTTAATCCAGGCCAACTGCATGATTAGGAATTTTCCTTCTGCTAGCATTACATTGGATACTGGCCTATGAAGGTTCAGCCAAGATTACCCAGTGTGTGTATGGTTGAGGGATTATGTGTCCTGCCCCCCTGTGCAGGATGAGCTGCACAATCCCAGAATGACAAGGAAGGGGCATCTGGTAAACCATTTCTGAGTACATTATACTTGGAAGGTTTGCCATATGTCAGAATTCACTCGGCAGTACATAATTGTTGTAATGCTTGAGTTCCATGGAGAAAACTAAATATAAAAATGTGGTTTATAATAGAATTTAACTACAATAAGTGCATTAATATTATTTCTTCACTTTTATTCCACTTTTCAGCAAACCTTTCTCCCAAAGTAGTTTAATATAATAAAATGGTCTAATTAAAATGTGTATATATTCTTTTCTTTAACTATTTAATAGTTATACTTCAGTAGGATGCTATAATAATCACTTTGGATAATTAGCTTTTTCATGTTTCTTCCTGTCCTCATTTAATTGCAAATTAAAATAAAATTATTTTAAGACACCACAACAACCTTGTTGTATTTGCTGCTTTTGTACATGCTAGCTATGTATGTGTTGTATCTTTGTTATTTGTGTAATATTGCTGTTACGTAATAGTAATGCCATTTTCTCATCAAAACATTTTAGAATAATTTTTAAGTAGACATTTATTCTCTAGCAACTTTCTATAACTTGAAAATGGGATATGAAAAAATCATGAAGGCTGATAACGATATGCAATAGAGATGGGTGATTTTTTTGCCCTGGAAATATTGCTTTTATAGAGATGTGGCGTCCTAGCCTGCTGAGAAATATTGTACAACAGGTAGAGAAGGAAATATCCCATTATGTGGCCAAAATATGGGGATTCATAAAAATAAAATCTATAGATTTTGTCTGAAGAGCAAAAAAAATATTTTTACATTTTCATACATGTTTCACATTGCTTATGTGATAATTTTCTGTATTTAATCAGTCATATTGTGTAATCTATCACAATTGTTTTCTGCTCTCTTGGCCACAAATATGGCATAAGTATGAAGGCCATCATCCCAACAAGTTAAATTGACATATAAAAATGAGCTTAAGCTGTTTTTGCAATATGGCAATAAACCACAGTTTTCGCCCACTGATGTTAGGGCTATTGGCTACCTAAATCTATAGAAAGAAAGTACTTCCCAGGACATTTTTTCATGTTAGTCATGAAAATAAAAAAGTCCTCTCATGTTTGATCACAAATAAACATTATGCAGAAGTGAACAAAGTAATGTTCTTCAATATCCTTTGACTTGAGTGGTTAGGATTAGATGTTTTGATTTCCATTTAATATTCTAAATAAAGAGATGCTGATCTACCAGTCACTCTGTCAATTGTTTCATTCCAGTTAGAATCAAAAGCTAATGAAACCTATTAAGTCATAAATCAATTTGACCTACTTACTACTTTGAACAGAGAAATAGTTTTTTCCTAATTCAGGACAAACTTTGAAGTTTCATTTCCCAAAAATCAAAATATTCACAAAAGCGAATGTATATATGTATTAGTCTTTTGCCACATATTTTCACTCATATCAGTTAAAAGTGGTGATTCAAAAATCGGTAAAACTGGACAGAATTTTAAAATTTGGATATGATCCTCTGTGTTTAAAAGAGCACTCTTTTCTTATCTCGCAATTAAGCACAGTTCACTTAGAAATGGGATAGACAATATTATTTTTTTTGAAAAGTATGATAATTTAATCATATTGAAAAAACTATTTGAATTATATGTCTTGATACTGCTGTCAACTAATTTTCTACTTTTCTTATTCTGTGGATATTTTTCCTGGAAAGGGGGTTGCTTGCAAATTAAGCTAGAAAGGAAAAGTGTTTTAAAAACAGTTTGTTTCATTCCACAGATTGATTTACACCTAATTTTTTTTCATCTTTACCAAATCTGAGTGTTAAGATGTTATCCTGAGATTAAAGATAGTCCCATTAAGGCTTTCTCTAAATCACCTTCAAGAGGTTAATATCTATGGGTGTTACTATCATGCCATTACAGTTGCTCTTAGTGTAACGATTAAATTGCTCTTAAAATACGTGTTCCTATTTTACAGTACTCTCCCAGCATGACAATGAGTGTGTGATCCCTTACCAAGTCTCTTCATGAAGGCTGCACTGAGTTGGCCCTCTCCAGAGAGCTACTAAAGAAGAAGAAAAAATTACTCATCCCTGTGTACAGTTTAACAGAAAAGATCTCTGCCACAACTGGATCCAGCATTTTTTCCAACCGTCTTTCCAGTTTTGTGAAGAAAATGGGTCCTCATCTGATCTCAGCATCTATATTATGTGGCGTTATCAGAGCTGTTCAAGTCTGAACTGCAAAGTTATCTGTGTATGTATATGTAGGGATAGGTGTATGTATGTGTGTGTTACGGAGACATAGATATGCGCACATACATATATAGACCTTCAGGACATTGTAAAATATTATCACATGACATCTTAAGTAGAAACAAGAAATAGGGACTTCTATTCCATCTTTTTTCACGTTTACATTTTAACTATAAAAGAACTGCTTTCCTTCCCCCATCTAAACTGTTTTGTGCTGTGTATATCACTGCTTTGTAAGTTATTTTTTTAAGAAGATCTCAGATAAATTCTGTTTTTTGTCATTGTCTGCCATAATGGATAGGAATAAAATGGCTTATAAGAGGGCTTTCATAAAGTTATGTTCAATACCAGTAACTATGTGAATTCTGAAATACACTATCTAAAGAAACAGAAGAAATGCATTAATTTTATTGGGCAAGTTAGACTTGTCCTTTGCCTTTTTAAAAAGCGAGATAAAACAACTTTGAGGAGTTGCTTGCCCTTTTTTCTTCATAGATGCATAATACTGCAGTCCTAAACAAACTTGCATGGTGGTAAGTTCAGCTATAATTCAGTAGGTAATGTGTTGAGGATTGGAGTGCACATCTTTTAATATTTGTTTTCAAGAGAAGTCTGGGTTCATCTTAACTTCTTAATCTATGCAGAGAAATACAACATTACTGTGTTGGGCTCTGGTTTGATTGCTGTAGCATCCAGCAATAAAATTGGCAGTTTTTGTCTTTCTGCCTTTGGAAAAAAATAATTTTTATTTAATATGATCTTCCATAAGTATAGTGGCTGAAATCCTGTTTCACAGCTCTGCATGCAGAACATGAAACTGTGGCAACATTAGTGAAAAGTGCAGCAGGGCCGAAGTGCTGTTCACAAAGTACTTTTCTATGCATGCTGCGTAATGGCTGCAATGGAAGCCATCAAATCAGTTGCACAGTCCAATTGGGCAATGGTGGTTGCTTGGACATAATACCCATGACACTTACTTATATAACTTTACATTACAGCAGAACATACAGGATTTCAGACAGTAATTAATAAAAGCTATAGGGTCTTCTACTCAGACATGCTTTTCCTAACAGTCCGCCATTGTCTCCCAGATTCACTAACACCCTAAGACCCAACTATCTGTGAAAAGTTAAAGACTGGCAAACATTTTCCCTTCACTGGCCCTACTAAACAATTACTCCCCCTTTTACCCCACAATCTGTAATTTCACCTTATCTGTAATTCTGTTAGACAGGATTGCTTCATTTAAATTTAAACACATCGTTTTATGACACCTTAAAGACCAATACATCTTACTGTGGCATAAGTTATTGTGACTAGGAAAACTTACACCACACTAAGTGTCAGTCTTTAAAGTACTGCAAGGTGTTTAATTTATTGCAGCAGGAAAAAAAAACACCCACAACTATTCCTGCAAATTCATCTAAAATATGTAGAGATAGTAGCTACATTTCTTGCAGCATCACATCCCTTGTGGTCAAAAACAACTGTGGAATTTAAAGGTGCTATTCATGGGGAAAGAGTATGACAGCGACTTCCTTAATGGCAAGTAATGATTCAAGAAGAGAAGTGTAAACAACTTTATATTGGCTCCTGCTTAATTTCTAATTTTGCAGTATCTTCTGAAAACAAAACATGATTTTCTGGTATTTCCGAAGTAATATTAGCCTTCATTAACTATTCGTCTTTCAAATACTTCATTCTGGGGAACTGCTGCCTTTGATGACAGAGCTGTGTCTACCTGAGGTCACTGAGAAATTTGGTTATCTATCTAGTCTGCTTCTGACTGAAGAAGCACTGAGTATTTGAATACAAGGAGCAGCGCATAATGATGTTCACTCTTTGTCACTCATTTTAACAGAAAAAGAAACATTCATCTTCATTGAATTGTGTTGGTAGTGCAGAAATCTTACTTGCAGAGATTTAACCAGAAGAACCAATTTTAAAAATTCTGTTACTTGTGTAGCACTAAGTAAAGGAGTTAGAATATGCAAAACTACATATGCTTATATTTTTGCATAGTCAAATCCATGACTCTTAGAAATGTAAAATAGAAATGCACTTCTCCCAATTGAGTACTTGAAGCCAGGTGAGTAATACTTGGTTGTATCCAGTACTGTTCTTTCAGTCACTGAAGGCTGTTTAGTTGGGCAGAATTGAATGGAAGATAAGGAGATTTCTTCTGGCTTCTGTTCTCATAGAAGCCCCATACACCTAACCCAACAAATCTGTTTCAGACTGCTGGTAATCCTCTTGAACAGTGTGGGAGTTGAAACAGGCTAGAGAAATTGGAATTTGCAAAAAATCAGTTCCTTTTCCCTTTGGTTCACAGGAGTGCTTGCTGATTCAACGAGCCTTCCATAAATAGGACTGGATACAACTTGTTAATCTGATTTTTAAAAATAATTCATTTCATGCATGTGAAAAGCCTGTTTTTGTGCCTCATTTTTCCACTTTTGTGATTAAATATGCCACATAGAAAAACTGAGTGCCGTATGCTTAACACTTAAAGACAGTACTCATTCTAAATTACATTTTTGTTTAGGATGTTTTGTACTTTCTCATGAGTTGTTTGTAGAGGCTGGTAATATAAAAAACAAAGTTAAAATAGGACATTGATTTCCAAGGACTGATTTACTACTAGCTTTCTAAAACACCCATGTATACATGATGTCTTAAAGTCATATACAAGCCTTAATGCCAAGTCCTCCCCAATGTTCCTGGACAAAGAAATGTGTGCTTAGGGCCAATTAAGTTGTAACTCTTTTCCTTTCTGCAAGCGTTGATAAAAGTATTCTGTATGTAAACATACAGAAATCATTCACACAGTAACTGATGACTTGTGGATTTTTTTTTCAAAGGATGGTTAAGGATTAGAATAGCATCTTTCTTCTGACCAATCCTTGAATCCATGCCTGTGCCTCTGTAGGAATCCTCCAAAAAGAGAACTAGTTAGAATTTTGGTGAATTCTAGCTTTTGAATATATTAATAAATATTTAAATAAAACTAGGTTTTCTAATCTGGAACATGATTTCATAAAGATTTTTTTAGCTTCCTGGTACATACTGAGGTACTGAGTGATAGAGAGGTAGAGGAAAGAATCACTTTTTGTGTGCTCTGTGTAAACTACGGAAATGAACTTAAAACTGTTCTTTGTAATCTGAATGAGAGTTGCGTAATGTTGTGAGTTCTCTGCTTTATTTTATTCTTATTTTCTTTTGACATATTTTTTGTATTCCTAAAAGATTATTGCTAAATAATATGCCTCAGTCAAGAGAGATCTGTGCAACAGCAGACGTTTCACATACTTTCTTCAAACATCTGCTTCTTGTGGTTGCAACTGCCAAATTTATATTTGAGGGTCTGTTATTTTTGCCTTCTTCATCCCAGGTTATCAGATAAACATTTGGCTGCCGTTATCCTAACCTAGCTTCATGCGTATTAAAAATTCCTTTATATCAGTAGTTTTCTCAACTTTTGTGTAACCCAGGTATTCCCAGATGTAACCCAGGACATTTCCAGTAGCCTTCAACACCAGCTGTTCTGGCCGAGGTTTCTGGGGGTTGCAGTGGGAACCACTGCTTTACATTTATCCATTGGATCACAGTAAAAGGAATGTCTAAGTGAACATGAACAGAATGAAGATACTTTATTAATATGAATATTCATAGTGAAAACAATCTTCCTAAATGAATTTATTAAAACAAAATTAAAATAACACTAGTTTAAATATATGTGTTTCACTCTGGCTACAATCAGTTGTGAAGGATTGACTTACATAAAACATTATTATTATTATTATTTAGTTCTTTGTGATAGTTCCATGTATATCTCAGCTTTTCTGCCAGTGAGCCCAGAATGGCAAGCATTACTTTTCCTATGTCCACTTTATCCTCCCTCTCAAGAATAATGTGAGGCAGGCTGAGATATTGTGACTGCTCCAAGGTGATTCAGTGAGTTACACTGCAAAGTGGATATGGGAGCCCAGCCCTCCTGAGTTGTAGTTGAGCACAACAGGACTTGTTCATCCAGCATCAATCCATGACATGATGATGCATGGAATTGCTCTAAATCCTGCTGAAATTAATGAGTCTTAATTTAGCCATGACTTTAGTTCAATCAGGCTATAATCAAACTCGGTGTTTTTGTGTCCTTATGGATAACAATATAGAATCCATGTTTCATAAAACCTTTTTGACTAGAAGTCATTAATATGTTTGTTACCACTATATTTATATCCTGGTACATTGGATGTAGTGAGGAATTAGATTATGAATTTGAAGAGGGACCAATTGCTAAGTTATGTTTTGTTGGGGATTTTTCTCCTTTTGCTTTGGTATCACATGTAGCCAATAAATATTGCACTGATTTTTTCCAAATCCTTTAAATTTGTTTCCTTATTGCTATTTTATAGAAATGCTTAGATGTTTTTACAATGGAGTTTGACATGCAACACTTAAACAGGAAGAATACCAATTTGATAGGAATTAATGCTGTAAAGTCTTCCAGAACAGTGTACTATCTTGAATTAATTTACAAAAAGTCATTACATTATTTCTGCTTCTGTTTAAAACTAGTCTGACTTGAATGTCAAGAGCTTGTTAAATAATGAATTGTATTTTTAGTACACTAGCACCTCTCTTTTTTAAAAAAGAAACCTGCAATTTGCCTTTGTTTAATATCAGAAAGCAGGTGTTTTGAGCATAAATAGAATGCAGTTTCCACTTTGTCATAGTTCAGGGCACTGCAACTGCAAACCTGGATAACATAGGTGTGCATAGAGATCGGCATAAACATACAGTGGTGCCTCGCTTCATGAGGATAATTCGTTCTGTTCAAATCACTGCTAAGCGAAATCCTTGTCAAGTGAAACGAAACAGCCCATTGAAATGCATTGAGAGCCGGTTCAGTGCATTCCAATGGGCGAAATACCTCAGCGTCCAGCGAAGGGTGGCCATTTCGGTGCCTGTAAAGCGATGAATCCGTCCTAAAACACAGCGGGGAGCCATTTTAAACAGCAGGTGGCCATTTTGAAGACCCAGCAATCAGCTGTAAAGATTGTCGTTAAGCAAAAAATCGGTTCCCGAAGCAGGGAACCGATCGTCGTTAAGCGATTTTTGCCTATTAAAACATTGTGATCACAAAAACTTCATCAAGCGATTTCCTCGTCTAACAAAGTAATCGTCAAGCGAGGCACCACTGCAAACTGTCACATTCTTTTCACTACTAAAGGACACTTTCATGCTGCTGCACATGAAACACTTTTGAGTCCTTCTGTAGAGATTAGCCAAGCTTTGTTCACATAAAAACTAGTGCTCACTACAGTTCCTCCA